TCTGGTTCCCTGGTTATAGCATAATTTATTTGTTTCCCTAATTGGGTAGAGTGGGCTTCTAATATTTTCTTATTCTATGTGAAGCTTTGATGAGCATGTGGGGTATCTGACATCTCAGTGCCCGTGGGGTCAGTCACCAGGGGTAAATAGGAGTCAAAGGGCATCCATCAGCTCTTCGGATGCCCTGGCTACTCCTGCCATGCTCTTATCCAGGGAACTTGCAATAACTTGTCCTTCTGGAGGCAGAGCGTTGAAATGTTTCCATCTAACAATGTGTTAACTTTCTTCAGGCTTACATAATCTGTTATAAAAGCTTGAGTTGTTGCATGCGTTTGTGGGTTTTATTTATTGTCACACTTTCTAGGTATTTCCCCTTACTCTGAAGTGTTTCTATAAGTGTGATTTCTTTATTGAGGCTCTAAATAAGTGTATAACCCTGAGAGTAGATGTGGGAAAGAACAAGAAAGGGGCTTTTCGGTGACGCCATCTGGGATGGGTAAGTCATAGTGTGCCAGGCAGTCAAAGTAAACATGGCATGCCGTGTGCTGTAGTCATTAGGCCTGTGTGCTGTGTTGGTAGGGAACAAAGTCATACTTTTCCTACAAGTGTCCACTGCGGCATCCACAACCTTCCTTTCCCAAAGAGGAATGATAACTTCCTTCAGAGTATGGACCATTTTCAAGTTTCTGATGTTCAGCCTCGGTAGGAGAGACCTGTCTTCCACTCTGGATGTAATTTGCCTTGAATATGTGGCCCGTTAAAGTCAGCCCCTGCCTGCCCTGCCCCCTGGAAAATATGTGGTTCTCAGTCAGGATTATTTATTCTAATAAAAACAAGTAAATACAGGTAGGAAAGAATGCGGCTTGCCGCGAGTGAGTGGAGCTGGTCAGGTAATACCCCACCAGCGACGTGCTATGACTCAAGGTCCTTGTCCAGAGTGTCCTGGAGGATTGAGTAACAGGGAAAACCAGACAGGCCAATGTCCACCTCTCCGTGAAGAGTGATGTCATGAACAGGATCTTTGCCTCTGGCGATGTGGGGAAGGGGTGTTGGAAAATGAGACCCCAAGAATGATTCGCATCTCTTAATTATTTAAATCCAGTTGAGGTCTGTACAGATCCAGAGGCCCTCTCCTTGACACTATCAACAACACATAGGCTCAAGAGCTGGTCTCTCGTAGTGTAGAGGCCCAGAATTCCCAGCGCTCGGATCCATGTTGAGCTTGGGGAAGATGGCTGTTGAAAAAGCCCTTTCTCTGGGAAGTTTGAAAAAATCAGAATGGACTGCGAGCAAGGTCTCTGATATGCACTCTCATGAGTGAACAGGTCTACTTTTCAGTGACATTTGACAGTTCCTGGTGGCTCTGCTTTCTGTTTCAGCATCCCTGTCTGCTAGCATTGATTTTTTGTAGCCCCTTGTGTGACTCACATCTGTAAAGTGATTTTTACCTTCTTTTGTACACGAATGATATCCAAGCAGGTGGAGCAGGGACAGGGCCTGCGGAGTCTGGGGCTTACTCCTCACGTGGCATGGAATACACTCACAGTCAATAGGAGATGGCTTGAATTCTAGCACCAATTTCTTGGCTCCTTAAAAGGGGCTAAAAGGAGGGAGGTTATAGTTGGCTTTTTGTCAGTGAAATAGAAAGCTTCTCCTGGGGAAGGAATGTTTAACTAGATCAGCCCACTGTTTCAAAGATGTGCAGACTCTCACTCCTTTTCCAGGGGCCTACAATTTGTGGCCTGAGCTTCTTACAGATTTCTGTTAATGCTAGCCCTGAGCTGTGCTTAGTCACCAGAGCTGTAAACTAGGAACCAGGACTGGGCTGATTTGAATACGATGGCTACTGTGAGCATCTTACCCAGGTGCCTGTGGGAATGAATAACAAGGAAGCGTGGAATACCTATCAAGTTGTGGTTGGCACACCCAGTGCAAAGTATGTGGCAAATCAGCATCAACCCGGTCAACAATCAGCACACGTGGGAAATAGAAGCATCCAGAAAACCCCAAATCTCTCCTAAGAGAGCAGCTGTTGCGTCAGGGGCATATGTACTGTTGGGCACTGTGCTGACCAGTAGTGATGTTCAGTCTATTGCACTGTGAGTTAGGAATCGCCATCCTACCTCATTCGTGAGTAGCCCGACGTTGAGCGTGGTTAAGCCCCAGCAGAATGGGAAGGGCTGCCCCAAAGTCAACTAGACTAGTTATTGTTTTCCCCAGCCCTGGACTTGTACCACACTGACCTTTAGCCTGCTCCAGCCCCTTGGCCTTTGGCTCCCTTAAGGCTGAATCGTGCACCCGGAAGTTCCTCGGTCAATATTTCATAGGGTCTGTCGTATCTCGAGCACTTCAGTCAGTACGCGCACAGGCATTCCTTCCTCATTGCAGCTGGAAGACACTGTCCCAAGATCAGAGACCCCACCCACCAGTCAGGGAAGATAACCCAAGGTGAATAAATCACCAGGGGAAGAACAGCTGTTCTATTAAGGTGAGGCTTAGCTGCGTCCTGGTTGTGGTTAGTTACATAGTAGCCAACTGTAATGGCAGAGGGATGTAAAATCTGAAAACACAGCAGTTTATGGTATTCTGTGGAGTGTGTGGGGTTACCTGTGAGAGTTTGCACTCCCTCATCCACTACACCAGAAGCCTGTTCTCAAGACTGAGTGCAGGCATCAGGAGCTTTCAAAGCAGTAGACCGGTGGCTAGACAAGAAAGGAAATAAAGTCTCCTGCTGGAAAATGTTCTTTTCAGATACCACTTAGAACACTGGTTTTCCAAGTGTGGTTCCTGCACCAGGTAACTCTGCAGCTGGGAATTTTCTAGAAATGTAACTTGTGGGTTCTCTCTTCAGGCTGAGTTTGGCTTCAGCCATGGGGTCCAGCAATCCCTCTCAGAGTCTGATAGACTAAGACTAAGGAACAGTACTGACCAAAAAGGCAAATTTGACCCACGCTGCAGATCAGAGACCTCCAAGGGAAGGTGTTTTTGGGGCCCTGTGCAGGGGGTGGGTGCTGGCTCTTGGCGGCTGTCTTTCTGATGCTGTGTCTTGGTAAAAAGTGGATTTATCTAATTAAATGTTCCTTCTCCAAGGCAAGCTTTCTATTTATGAACAAAGGTAAGATTGGCAAATAACTTTTTCTGTATACTAATATTTTACAGACCTTTGGTTTTGTGTGTGTAGGGAGTAGAAGGTGTATGTGTGAGTGAATGTGGGCGGGTTTGTGGATTCAATTACCCCCTTCAGGTGCGTATAGGGACCAGAGGATCACATTGTCTTCCTCAATTGCTTCTTGCTTTTTTATTATTAGTATTATGATATAATACTATTAATAGTATTAATAATACATACTGTTATTATCAGGAGGATGCGGATGATGATTTGGTTATGCTGGCTGGCCAGTGAGCTGAGAAAGGCCTATCTCTGCCACCCGGATGTGCCTCCACACTCAACTTTTACTGGGTTCTAGGGATCTGAATTCAGGCCCTCGTGCTTGCACAGCAAGCGCTTCACCCACTGAAGCATCTCCCGGCCTGTGTTTTATGTACTGTCTCTCTTGACTATATTCTTCCTGCAAGCCTTTTATGAAGGGTTTATGACATACCCTTGTTGTTGAAGATACCATATAGAATTAATGTACTCTCAGCATTTTGAAGCATTTTCTGTAATCTTTGAGAATACTTTGGAATTTGTAAAATAAGGTTTAATTGCTGTTGGGATAGCCACTTAAGGATAACTCTTTCTGTTGTGTGTGTTGTGGGGGTGTCATCTCTAAGATGGTCTCTCTTTCCATCCTCAGGCCTCAAACTTCTTATAAGTTCTAGGGTTTGGTTAGTATATCACTCTGGCCAACTGAATAACATATATCTCAGTTTGGCTTGAAACTGGCACAGTAGAGTGATAGAAATAAATTAGCAGGTATAGGTAATTAGATAAGTAAAACCAGAAAGGTGAATATGTAAGAAACCTTTTGTGTTTTCTGGATTCTGGAGAGTAACAGATAAGAAATCCCTGCATACAGGTTATTTTTCCATGGTGTGTGTGTGTGTGTGTGTGTGTGTGTGTGTGTGATGTGGAGCCATTTGTGTGGAGATAAAAAGATAACCTTGTGGAGTCATCTCTCTCCTTCCACTTTTATGTGGGTACCAGGAATTGAACTTGGGTCCTTTAGACTTACAAGGCAGGTTCTTTACCAGCTGAGCTATCTGACTGTCCCCACCCCAATTTTTCAAGAATGAAAACCTGGGTAACTTGGGGCATTTGGGTTAGAAACACTAGAGAATCTGAGTGGGTTGGCACTCTAAGTAGGTGGTCTACATTAGTTTACACTTTTCAATACTTCCCTTGCTGGAGGATGCGGCTTCTCAAGGTAAAGACTGAAATATGTGCAAGGACTTGTAGTCAGAAAACGGAAAATTTAATTTAGATTTTTTTTCCAGTATCTGTCTTTGGATAACCATTGAATTTCCTAGGCTCCAATGTTTAGTTCTGAAATGTTGGTTTATTTTATCTCTCATGGTTTGGGTGAATAATTATAGTTTTATCTCCACTAGAAGAAAAATAATTTACCCACATGATAGAAATGAGAATATAAATGGGTTGTAAACTTACGTTTTCTTGATATGTGTTTATTTGTGGAAGCAAATAAACTAATAATCTCTCTGAAAATAATAATAATATTATTATTACATTAATCCTAATAATCGGTCCAAAAATCTGTCAAAAGTCTGAAAGTGATGACAGCTTTAATTATTTTGAGTTGATTATTGGAAAGATCATCTTTAAAGTTAGAACACTGCTTTTTTGTGTGTTTCTGTGTTATTTAATTTGGCCTATTTGGCAGGAACATTTATCAAAATATGCTGCTTAGTGTATGGATTTAAATATTAGCTGGGGCATTACCTGGTGTTTACAGTTTCATTCCATTTTGCTGCTTTTGTTTGCTTGTTTGTTTTTAATGAAAAAAGTATAGTACCATTAAACCTGAGCTATTTCCTTGCAGTGACCCATATGTGAAGCTGTCATTGTATGTAGCGGATGAGAATAGAGAACTTGCTTTGGTTCAAACAAAGACAATTAAAAAGGTAGGTTGGCAAACTTTTATGAAATTCATATAAGTCATAATTTAACCCAATTACATTTTGTATTTTGGCTCTGTAGAAATTTATGTTTTAAAAATAAGATAGCAATATTTTTATTTTAAGTGACTCTAATATTACGTCTAAAAATCGCCCATTGTCCAAAACTTTTCCATGTTTTACCTGAGTTAGCTCTATAAAGTTTTTTTTTCCTTACAACACATATAACCAAACAAATTATTCTGCTTAACTTAATAGTTTTCATAAAGTTTATTTAATGAAATGGATGGTGGACTTGGCAGGCAAAAGAGGAATGGTTTGATTTGTGAAATAACTGGTTCTTGAGGAAGCAGAAATACACAGGATGTGTTAATAGTAAAATTATACATGTGTGTGTCTTTTCCTGTTGTGTGTGTGTGTTGTGCATATTCATGTGGAAGGAGAAATAAGCATGTATGTGCGGAGGCCAGAGGCAAATATCAAGTGTCTTGCTTAATCATTCATCCCCTCTATTTTGAGGCAGGGTCTGTCACTACACCAGAATTCTCTGGCTTGAGTAGATAAGCAGGCCAGCAAGTCCCAGGATCCCCTACCTGCTATCTCTGCCACACTGGGTGTTGGCATGACAGGTGCTGTGAACTGCTCTGCCCACTGCTTACATGGGTGCTGGGACTCCCACTTAGCCCTGCACACTTTCACAGCGAGCATCTTACTGACTGAGATCCCTGCATAATAATAATGATAATGATAATAATAATAATGTCTAAATTCACTCACCGCTACGTTTTTGTTTATATATAAAAAATATAGGGATACTTCATCTGTATATCTTGGGCAAGGATGGGGATGGGGCTTTGTTAAATTTTCATGTTTTCTACCAAGAATACTATATTTGTGTTTTGGAGTTGTTTGAGTTATTATTATCCTCCCCTACACACACACACACACACACACACACACACACACACACATATCGTTTTCTATGAAATGTTTTCTGATTCCATGATGGTTTTAAAAAGATTGTATCTTTCCTGCTGCTATGGAGACACTTAAGATCTACGGCACAATCAGGTCATTTTATGTAGGAAACAGTGTCCTTCACCTGGCATTGAAAACCAGCAGTGAAACCTGTTTGCAAACAAGCCAGTGTAGAGATTAGTGGGAGGCCGCCTATGAGGAGGGAGGCCATTGTTCCCAGTGTTAGGCACTGGCACTTGTTCTGTTCCGATTGAAGCTGGGGTCTCTAGTCAGAACTGCAGTCAGGGGCCTGGTCCCCTGCTGGGCTAGAGCCAAGAACCCATGCCAGTGACTACGGTATTACAATGTCTTTCATTCGGAGTGACAGCCCTGCTTCTCCCTCCCTTTGCCAGCTGGAGGGAGTGTCTCCATTCTCGCGGCCCGGTTCCTGGTTAGTATTGCTGTGTTGTGCTGTGTGGTGCTGGACTGTGCGGTGCTTGTGGGAGAGCTCACGCTTCCTCTACCTGTGTCCCTGCTCCTTTTGCTTTGTGGTTTCCTTTTGTCCCTGGCCTGCCTGGCAACACCATCTGTTTCGTTCCATGTAGCTGTCTTCCAGTTCTAAAGGGGAGCATTCGCCACCCCCAGTTCCATCTCAGTTCTGTTCATACCTCCAAAGTGTGGTCATTCAGGGTGGGGGTTCTCTGGAGTTGGGGGTTGTTATTTTTTAATCGATGTCAATTGATCATTGCCACAGTGCTGTTCTGCATGTGTGGTTTAGTAAGCTGGGTATTTCTCTCTCCCCTGTTAAAAGGTAAATATGTTGGCGAACAACTTTTCATTTTCAGAATTTTATAGGTTGTTTTTACAGGTTGTGTTTCTGACTTTTATGCCTGTACAAATCTGTGTTGTATGAGTGATGTGTGTTGGTTGTGTGTGATGTATATATATGTGTTCCTTCATAGAAAGTACTTCATGTTAAATTAGAAGACTGTTTAGTTCAAGCTCAACACCAGAATATCGTTGCTGTGTTCTTGCAGGATACGTAGTTAAGGTGAATGATATGTGAATGAAGGGGATCAAAGGATATCTTTTAAATGATTGCTTTAGGGAAAAGAAAAAAATACAGTTTTCTTTATAGTGTGTGTGCATGTGTTAAAATCTCCTCAATATTGTTCTCTGTGAAAATATTCTTTAAATATCGACGATGATGTAAGTAATGAGAACCTTCAGCCTCTCCTCTGTCAACACACACTTGTAGCAGGTAGAGGGGAATCAACAAAGTGTACGTCCTTCTTGACAGAGTAAATCCTTTTTAATGTCATTCTCTAAAGGGGACTTTTGTTTCTCGTGGCTCTTTGTCGGTAAGTCCCAGCATTTTTCCTTCGGGTGAGCTCGTGCAATTTATGGTTTCATAGTCATGAGTCATGACTTTCATAAATATAGTCTCTCCTCCATCCAATTTGGGTTTATAGAATAGTCTCAGATAATTGACTAAATGTTGCTTTTATTGCCATTTTGAAAATCGCTTTTATGAGGAAATTGTTTGCACAAATATGAAAAGCTTGTGTTGTATTAGTAACAGCTCCAGCACAGCTGAAGATCACAGAATTCTCTCTCTTCCAGACGCTGAACCCGAAGTGGAACGAAGAGTTTTATTTTAGAGTAAGTTTTTCTTTCATTTTGTAGTAATATTATTCATACCTAGATTGATATATCAAAATAGACTCATGGAAAGAAAACTAGATAGCATTTTAAAAGTAAGAAATTTCTCTTAAGACAGGAAATGTTTGGGTTCGGTAGACTCAGGATATGTCCCAAATTTTGAAAATCTGTGAAGGTTTCATTTGTAGAGGAGAGATAGAAAAGGTTGTCAAGATATCATGTTCTGTTTTTCAGATAAAACTTTTCTTTAAATATAATATTTAAATATAAAAATCAGACTTTGGAGTCCGGTTAATTCCAGTTCTGAGCTTGTTTGTTTTGCAACCTTTAAAAAATAAAATTTGAAGGAAAAGAAAGGCAAAAAGACAGTGCAATTTAAAACAGTAGCCGTATGATTTCTATGTGATGCGGATTATGAACTGCATCCAGAGTAGAGAGATAATTAAAAGGAAGCATCACTAATTGCCAGTGATGAGGACAGGGGTAGCTCAGTGGCAGAGTACTTCCCTAGTATTCTGGAGACCCTGGGTTTGAGCTCCAGCACTGCCTCCCCACAAAAGACAGAAAATTACCAGTTATGCTCAGGATAGAAGGGAAAGATTTCTAATTCGGAGATCTAATGTGTACAATTACATTCAATACCACCGATTAGAAGAACGTTTCCTCAGCCTCCGGCACCCCTTGTTTAGAACAGCTGGATTCTGAAGGGGATTCTGTGGATTGATGGAGACCGGTGCTTGCTGGTGTTTGCTAGCAAATATTTGGAAGCATCAAGCCCCTCAGCCATTTAATTGGAAGAGAAGAAGGAGTTTCCCTTTAAAATTGAAAATTTGAGTTGTCTGTACACCCGGGATGCTAAGAAAGACTCACCTCCAAACTGCTCCAGCTTAGGCCTTCTAGTGACTGCATGCTAAGAGCCAGGCGCACAGCCCTGGCTTCTTTCAGTCATGGTAGGATTTTCTGTGCTGCAAACTTGGATGACTTTCCCTGCATCTGTTTTCTGTTATGTTCAAAGCTGAAACATGGCTCTGAGGTTTTAACACTTGGTAGATCCCATGTTCAGCCTCTACCAGATACAGTTTAGATAAGCTGGGGAAGGGCTGAAAAGCTGTTGATGGCTGAGAAGTGTTACTAGATCTTTATTAGTGCTCAGATATAACAAGCAGTTTCTTGGGGAGCTAAATCATTTGCTCTCCTTCCATTTGAACCACATTGTATGAATTTTATTATATATAAAGCTTTGTCTATAAGTCTTACCTATAGGCATATTTGTTTCTCTTTTTCTTTTTTTTTTTTTTAAAGATCTTTGCTTTATTCCCCGCACAGTTTCTTAACAAATGCCTATTGCATGCCCATCTCTACTGTAGACTATTGATGCATTTCTGATAGGTGTGCAGCCTTTGGCAGAGCTGATGAACAGCCATCCATCCATCTGCTTGTTCTGTTGCAAAGCTGTCTGCAGACACGGGGCCAGGAGCTCAAGTTGAGCACATGAGCTCTCTGTGCTACAACCAAATATAATTTCATCCCATGTTCCATGGGGAGCCCAAGCCTAGCATAAGACCCAACTCACATGCCTGCCGTTGCCACTCACTTTGAGAACTTGAGGACACCAAACATTCACAGTCTCCTGGAGAAGTCCGTTCCATGTACGCTTTTCTTCCCTGATCGATAGGCGAGTGTGTCAGTAGCAATATCTGATACCATGTCCGGCAGGATTGGTAAGGTAGTCAGTGGCACCTGAGTCCACATGATGAAACACAGGTTATTTGGGTGAGTTGGGGTAAAGAGAAAGAAACAAACAAACACTGACAACTCTCAGGGCTGTGACTTTGCCCTAACCCAGGGCAAGTCCTGATTGCTCAATATACTGGCTTGTGTGCTCCTGGGTAAATTGCTTCACCACCCACTTGGGCTCAGTGATTTCTGTGTGAAAATGAAGTGATAGTTACACACTGTTGAGTTGTTGGGAGAATAAAATGAGACCATAAAGTGTTAGTAGTTCAGGAAATAATAGTTGGAGGTGGGGCACAATGGCATATAGCTGTTTGTGTGTTCATCATTACCTTCATTAGGCCAATGAGCATAAGGCCTTGATCTGCAGATATGAGGGTAGCTTTGTAGAAGAGATTGGAGCTCCTTTAAGACTGCTAAGAAACAACAATAAAGATACTGCCTTTTTCTGGTATGCCTAGATATTTGGGGTAGAATAGTAGCAGATAAGCAGGTCAGTCATTATTATACAGTAGAGTCCAGTGTGATTCTTGATTCTTCCTGTCTCTTAGATCAAATTTAAAATGATACCTGTTGATATTTAAATATGGTTTCTGTCCCTTTTAGGTAAATCCATCTAATCATAGGCTCCTGTTTGAAGTATTTGATGAGAACAGATTGGTAAGTCCTTGGTTTTGAGTTTTGCTTTCTTTTCCTAAGAACTGATTTTTTTCGAGTGGTACCTTTGAGATCTTCCAGGTCATTCACAGCAGTGCACATGCCTCCAAAACACTGTTTTTGGTCTCACTGTTCAAGCTCTCAATACTGGCAAATATTGGTGTGTTGCTCGGACAGAAATTTTTTTTGGGTATGTATATTTTTTATAGTTATTATTGATAAAAGTCACCTATGACTATGAGGCTCATCCCAAAGGCCTCATTATGCTTTGTGTAGGGAACTCAGATGCGAAGGTGCATCTGTGAGAATGTCATCAATCCTGTAACCAAGGCTTGTGGCCATTTACAATGTTCCTCAGGCTTAGCATGCCACAGTGAGTTCACGGACAACTCTATGGCGATTGTCTCTGAGGAAGCAAAAGTCTAATTCACAGTGTATAGTTAAAGCAAATCTCCTTTACTGTTGAAGTCAAACAGTGATACCTTAGGAAAAAACCTTAGAAAGTCATTTCAAAGGACGAGCATAAGAGCTGGAGGTGTGGCTCTGTGGCAGATTTCTTGCCTGTCATATGTGAGGCTCCATTCCCTATTCAGTAAAAATAAGAAACCCATACATGAAATAAAACCCACCAAAAGCAAAATAAGGAATCCCAAATACATGCTCGAAGATAACTGATACAGCAAACATTTTATATTTAGATCTATAATATATCTGTAATTGACATAGAATATAAAGCGCATGTATGATGACCAGAGGACAGCTTTGTAGAGTTGGTTCCCTCCTTCCACTTCTCTGTACGTTCCAGGGACACAGGTGACTGTTTGCATGACAAGGGCTTCTGTCGACTGAGACATCATGCTAGCCTAGCGTTCTCCTAAGTAACTAGAATGTTTACATCAAATTCCCATGGGCCTCATGTCCCAGCTTTGAAAAATGAACATGATCAAGTTATGTGTAAGTCTTGAAAGCACCCTGAGAAGTGGGAATAAAATTCAGGGCGCTTGATTGATTATACTCCTGTTTGCTGCCCTGCCTAAAAGGAATGTGTGTTCTTGACCTCATCTTTCTACAGAATTCAATTGAGACTCCATACATTGTAGACTAGCTTGAGGTTGACAGAAAGTATCGTCAAGAGGATTCTTGAGACAAAGTTCCGCGCTCCGCTGTTATTAAGGATGAAACAGCTCTGCTTCAGAGTCCGAATATGATTAAATGCTGATCGGGGGCACACGGGGTCCAGCACCTGGGCATCTCAATGTCAGCTTATGCTGGGGAATAGCCAGAACCTCTACCCTTAATAAAGAATTTGTGGGCGGATATAATCTGACGCGCTCGCCTTTAGTCTCCCAAATGGAAGGCTAACAGATTGTACCTCCTAGCCCAGCATCTTTCCAGTTATAAATATGGATCGTGGTGGCTTTGTTGACATGGTACGTGGCTTGTGGGAGTGATCGCTAGGGGCACTGAGTAACTCTTGTGTGAATTGCTCAGTGTAGTTCCTGCCTCTCATACTCTGATCTAGCACGAGCTGGTAACTGAACTGGTGACATTCATTGAAATAACGCAAACAGTAAGTCTGCAGGGACAGAGCCTCCATAGACCGATACTTACCTCTGATTTTAGGAGGATAATCGTTTTAAAATGAAACAATGGTCAGACTTGAAGAGAAAGTGCCTCTTCGTGCTCTCTTACTAAAAGATATTTCCTGTCTTTGTATTCCCCATTTGTGTGCTCTAACATAATGCTTGCAGTTGCGTGACCTTGCTGTGGGTAAGAAAGGTATTTCCAAACCAAAAGGAGGCTCTGACTACAGAGTACTTTAAAAACCGAGTGGTCCTATTTTACATGTCCTGCTTTGTCTTAGCCCGAGCTGTCTGCTGGTGCAGCTACCATGCATAGATTGCCAGTGTTGCTGGTGGTGGCCTTTCCCCTTTGTTGCCTGTTAATCCAGCCGACACAATACGTGACTGGAGTCTACTTGGAAGTTCTGGCATCGAGCAGACTAGACTCTAAGTCTCACAGAGCTTATTTTTGCCATTCAGAACTCTGTGCATTTAGGAAACAGGTTCGTGTGTGTAAACACGGGGTTAATCCACCACACCCTCTGCTCCAGAGCAGTTTACAAAGACATGCTTTGTCGATTTTAAAATAAGTTTTTCTCACTCTTTCCCCTCCTGGCTTTTTTTTTTTTTTAAGTCCCACCTAAACAAATCTCTTTGTTAAGGAACTGGTGTTTCTGGATCATAGGAAAGAGTATATTTAAAATGCAGAGAGTATTTCCAGGTTCATTATGGATCTCCGCTGACAATTTTTTGGGCATTCACTTTTAGTTCTTAGATTTTTTTTTTTTCCTGGCCCATTGCAGACGGCAAGATTTTTAGGTCTGTGACCCAACTGTGGTGATCCTGATGTGTTCTCCCGGGAAAACAGCTCCAGGCCTTTCTTCTGTATGTTTTTAAGTTAAATTACTACTAAGCCCACATACACTGCTCTTCAGTTCTCTCTCTCTCTCTCTCTCTCTCTGTGTGTGTGTGTGTGTGTGTGTGTGTGTGTGTGTGCGCGCGCGCACGCGCGCTCACGTGGGGGGGGGGAGAGTTATGAGAGAGATTTGTTTTCTCCAGCTGGGTTTCTTTTCTCTGTTAACTGCTGTTTCTGGTGATCATATTATATGTGGCACACACACCCCTTTAAATGCAGAATGTTTATAGTAAATAGTAAGAGCTGGACCAGGCTCACAGCTGGCAGTGCCGTGTTGTGCCCCCTGTGCCTTCCCTTGGCTATTTTGTTACTTGTAGATCATGGTCTAATTATTTCCCATTAAAGGGACACGAATTCCGTAGGGTGTGTAATCGTATTTATAGTACATTTTATTACTTTGCATTCCCTCGTGGCAGTGTAGTGATATCATAACAGAAACAGAACATTTGATGCTTGAGAAGGTTCGCCCCGCAGCCAAGCTCTGTTTTACTTGTTCTTTGGTGTAGCAGGGAGGTGGAGGACATACCTTTGAGTGCCTGTGCTTCTTGCAGGCTCCCCCGCGTCAACAGGAGAGAGACCTAGTGCTTGTGGTAGTTGGGAAAGCATTTCCCTGTGAGTGTGATGGGTCAGATTTACAGCGGCATAGCTGTGAGTGTGTTTGCTGCCTCAGTCAGCTGCCCGAGCTCCCTGCTGGGCCGCCCCTTTCTGACAGAACAGCAGCAGCTGGGAAGGTGCTGTTTCAGGCTCTTGCTGTTGGGTGGGGAGGGGGGGGGGGACCCGCAAGAGAGGGGAAACTTCACTAAGTCCAGAAGCTGGCATTGGAGGGGGAGCCGGTGGTCATGTGTCTCTGGCCATCCTACCCTCTGTCACAGACTAGATGAGAGCTTTTTGCTCTTATCCAATCATGCCTGGAATGCTGCTTGCCACTTGGGCTATTTCTGCTATCTGTCGCTCTTGGTGCCGCAGTGCTAACAGTTTGGCAGATGGGACACTTTTTCTTGGAGTTGGTGTCTTTGGGTTTTGACTTCTGGCATTGCTGGGCGTGTTGTCGCTCGCTCTCTCCCTCCTGGCCCCCCTGGTCACCATGGCCCATCGGCTTCGGTTTCATTTTGGCTCTGGACGCAGCAATACGGCCCCCGAGTCTGAGATTCTAGACCAGGAGAGAGAAGAGGACTTTTTCATGGCATTCCACACGCTGCCACGGAGAAGCAGCCCGCACCCCTTCACCCAGAGCACAGGGGAGGACGGTGGCCTGCAGGAGGGCGTGGGTGCTCTCAAGCGCAGCTCATCCATGTTCATACCGCAGCTCCTGACTGGGGTGGACACCAGGCCCACACGGAGCTCCTCAGTGCAGATCTCTCTGCAGCGCAAGGCCGCAGACGGCGCCACAGACAGCTGCGGGCCACCCGAGGGCCCTGACGACAGGCCCCCGAGTGCCCAGGCTGACCTCGGAGACCAGGCCGCGGCCACAAGGGTCTCGGCTCAGATTAGCTCATCGGAGCCCTCTCCAGTGGACACTCCTGGAAGCTCCCCTCCAAGGGCAGCCTGGGATCCCGGGACCCTGATCAATGGCACTTGTGATCACCGTGGTCAGTGTCCCCGCTTGCCTGAGGATACAGAGGAGGCCACCCCAGGCCTGCGCATCCAGCACAGAGCCTCCAGTGCCGATGTGCGCCAGGTGCGGCTGCTGCCCTTCGGCCCGGATGGCCAAGCAGAACCCAGACGCTGGTCCCTCCAGCATGTTCCAGACGCTTCTGGGAGCTCCGGAAAGCGTTGCTTTGTCTTTCAGCTGCAACAGCCCCAGCAAGGAGCTCTGGGGCTGGGCGGTGACTTCAACTTTGGCTTCACTGGCACTAAGGGGGACAGGTTGGTGAGGTATCCACGCATTCGGCTGGAGAGGAGCACCTCATACCCCACCCAACCCCGAGCAGGCCGGGTGAGCCCCACCGAAGACCGAGGGACCCCAGAGGCATCTCCTCGGACCAGTAGGATGGTCCCGGAGATCCGCAGGACAAATTCAGAGAGATCCCCGCAGAGTCCAGGATGCATGTTCAAGATCAGGCAGGATCAAAATGCAGGGCAGCAGCATTTCCGAATTCTTGTGACTCGGGGACCAGAAGAAGCTCCCCAGAACCAAGAGGAGACTCCCAAGAGTCCTGGACCCCCTGGAGCTGGTGCTCGGGTAAGTGGCAGGTACACGTGTTAGAGTGGCTCAGAAGGGGACCGGGCCAACACAGGAAGCTTGGTTATTTTGCAGCCCAATTCTCCGATGAAGGAATATCCTTCCTGTTGAAGTCAGTGGATCGCAGTGTTTTGGTAGCAGTCCCTGAAGCTCATAGCCTTCCAGAAAATACTTTTTCTGTAGGTCTTTGACGTAAGACGCTCCGCCTGTTTGGGGATCCTAATCTTAATACATACCATTTTTAGTTTAGTTTAGAATGGAAGAATTTTAAAAATTTATTTCTTAAAGATAGTCTGCTATACAGCAAGTCAGTGTCTAAATGTGCTGATGTTGGCAGTGATTC